CGACGACGATGATGACAGTGATGTTTGTAATGATGGTAGTGACATCATCAATGATGATGTTTGTAGATGTTGATGTTGTTAGTACTGAGAAGAAGGATAAAGTTTAATAATCGGTCTCCAGATGTTCAAAGATGCCTAGCATGGAAGAACATCGAACGATGGTGATGACGACGACGATGACGATGCTGATGATGATTCGGTGGCCATAGAATGGCAAGAAAGAATGGAATGTATCACACACAAAATTGGCTAAACAATAGAGAAAAAAAATTTCAAACTTATTAGCACCTCAACGAAAATTATCATTATTAAAACTAGCGAACATGTAACACCGTAAGAATCTATATGAACTGTTAATGTTTTATAAAGTCGGTGTTGAAGTTAATTTCGTAGTTGTTGAAGTTCATGCCGACGTCGTTGTTGATGTCACTTCTTCTGAAATGGTGCCATTACGCAGATTAATGATGATGTAGTTGTTACATTATAGTGGTCTTACCTGGACCCAAATTCAAAGGTTAGACAAAAAAAAGTTAAATAGTTGAGCTCGCAATGGATGAGAAACGGTTGGAACAATCATATCGTCGCGTTGAACAAACCAGGTCGATGATGATGATGATGATGATGATTATAGATGATGATGATGATTATAGATGATGATGATGATTATAGATGATGATGGTGTGGTGATGATGATAATGATGATGATGATGATGATTATAGTGGTCAGAAGATTACAATTTTTGTAGTAATTGTTGTTGATTTCATGTTAAACATCTCTACCTCGAATGAATAAAAATCAATTTTATAATTGAAAGGTACGAGAGACAACATCGAACACCATCTGAACACCATGAGTCCACACACAACTCTTTTCTTTGCACAAACAGCCCAACTATCATTAAAACCCTTAACTGATGAAGAGTCCAATAATTATAAAATAATTGTGATGATTATTATAATTATTTTTGAAATAATTATTATAGTTATAATTATGTCCTGCTACATACAAGTGGTGAATGTTCGAAACTATCTACTTAGCTACTGTTAAAAATTGTGTGAGTGAGCTAGCTATGATGTGTTGTATCCCGGTATGTATGTGTCCGTGTGTGTTTCCGTTTGTGTGTCTCTGTGTGTGTCTGTATGTGTGTGTACGTGTGTTGTGTTTGTCTGTCTGTTTGGTTCGATATTGTATATTGATTATGTGGCAATGACAATTTATATAAAACTATCAATACCACAGATAATTCAAAGTATAACTCGACATAAAAAAAACCAAACTTCCGCCAAATTACATCAACACACATCTTAACAACTAAAATTCAATAGACAGGAGACACCACAAACATAACCTAAACAACAGCACACAAAAACACCACATGACATGTCAAACAGCAAGCCAAGCAAACACCAACAACACCAGACAACATTACGTTGCAACACTCACATCATATCACAACAAACATTTCCGACAGACAGTCAGCCAGATCAAATCAGATGCCTAATAGATGCAAAACGGTTCAGACAAAATTCTATAAACACACGCATGCACTCACATACTCACAAATACACATATCCAACTGCACATACACAATACAATACAAGCATACAAACAATTAGACTTGCATACAAATATGTACCTGCACACTTATAAACTTACATACAAACACAAACATACACATATACCTACAAAATCTGGTATACACATATGCACAATGATGATATCATAACTGCATTGCAGAAATGTTAAAAGAAAATACACATTCATAAATCTACACACATATATACCCATATATTCATACCCACAAACACACATGTACAACAATCACACACACTTATATATGCACGCATACAATCACACACACTTATATAAACACATACACATAAACACACCACACACACACACGCGCGCGCGCGCACACGCACACACACATAATAACAGGCATAAGTGAAGTTTGATCGGTATTCTACAAGTTCTGCCAGTCAAAATCAATCAATCATCAACAAAAATTCAATCCCCAACAGAACTAACTGCTTAACATATTTGAGAAAAAATACGAAGAAAGTTGGAGAGAGTGTAAAAGAGAAAAATATGAGAAAATAAAGGAAAGAAGGGAAAGAGAGAGAGATAGAGAGAGGGAGAAAGAGAGAGAGAGAGAGAGAAAGAAAGAAAGAGAGAGATAGAGATGTAACAGATGTAACAGAATGCTTATGTAAAAGAACATACGAAACGATAGTTAGGAATGGGATCATCCCATTCCGTTGTTGAGATTGAAAATAATATTGTAACAGTGCAAATTGATGATGGGAGCACTTGACAAACGACGATAAGAAATTGTGAAACAACAAAATTGTCAGTGAAATTAAACGTCTGTTGTCACTTGCAACGTCATTAAAATTCTAGAGTTGTTCGTGACTCAAACCAGCCAACTATTTGTAGGAGGAAATGATTTTCAACTTCATAACTGAATTGAATTCTAGTACAAAAAAAAAACACTGCAAACATACGCCCACCCAAATTTCCATTCTGATATCAACGAAAACATAGGACTTTTGAAAAAAAGTTTGCTCATTATAAAGTTTAAAATGTTTGAAACTACTATTTACACAGAAAATCTATCTTGGTGATGTTGTTGTCTGGAACATTTCTTCACAACAACCGAACATATAAACTGTTGTATTCTAAAAAATGTAGTTGTAATTTTTAGAAATGTTAGAAAGATGCGTCTTGTCCATGTTCCAATGTTCCAAAATTATTAACAGATTTTTCAGGACCCAATAAAAAAAAATGTAAAAATTAACCGTTGAAAAATACAAAAGACATTTTCAGTCAACAGAACATCATTTACCCAAGGAAAACAAAAAATTGAAATGAAATTAACTTTTGAATACGAATTCCATTTGAAACTATGATCTTTTTTGTTTGTTTGTTTGAAGTCCAATCAGTTATAAATAGAGAAAAAGATGGATGCCTGGATGAAAGGACAGATGGATGGATAGATTGAATTGACAGGTAGAAAGATACATTAATTATAAGTGGAGATAAATGTCCCTTAGATATATAGATAGATACATAGACAGATGAAGAGAGAGACAGGGCAGATGGCTAGATAACCGATATATGGAAAGATAGATATCCTATTGGATGGCTAGATGGATATCCGATGGATAGAAAGATATCCGACAAATTGGATAGATAAAAATGAATGAGAAGATAGATAGACGGATAGGTGAATGAAAAAAGAAACAAACTCAACGTCATCAACAGCACAACAAAAAGCTGAATAAAACTAATAATAACAATAATAATAAATATACTATTACTAATAATAATAATAATAATAATAATAATAATATCCATAATGCTGCTCTAAATCGGAACACAGGAAATTCTTTCTCAAGTCTTCAATTTTGTTATTTAATTATTTTTATTACTACTACTATTACTATTATTATTATTCCATCATCAAAATCATTAAAATAGTGCAGAGATAGTGATCGCACAAACACACACACACACACACACACACACACACAGCACTTACGAAGACCAACCAACCAGGATGTAGAATATATCAACACATCACGATGGTGTATAAAATGTAACTTGTGTATGTAAATGTAACCTACAAAACATACAATTTAAATCACAACCGCTACACTCCCGCCATTTTTTTTTAATTTTTCTATTTGTTCACTTCAACAAAATTGAGAATAAACAAAGAATAAAAAGCAGGAGAATAAACAAAGAATAAAAAGCAGGAGAATAAACAAAGAATAAAAAGCAGGAGAATAAACAAAGAATAAAAAGCAGTAGCAAACAAGCAATGATATAGAGAGGGAACTGAAAATCAGCACCCAGTTGACATACAGACACATAACAAAGCAACTGTCATAAAACCACATGCATGTATATCGAAGAAAAACGTTTAAAATAACATTCAATACACAAATTCATGGGTTCATTTATTTATTTTATAAAAAAAAACAACATATCCAATGTGTGCATAACATGTGAATTCATTCGTTTATTTATTCATTGAAACATTGTTGTACACATACATTGTGTACACGCATTTAATTACACTCAGGCTTTATCTAATCTAAACCCAAACAACAATTTGAAACATTCCAAAATTTAAACTCAAGCAGAGAAAATGAGATAGAGAGAAAGTTGAGAGAGAGAGAGAGAAAAAGAAAGAAAGTAGAGAAAGTAGAGAAAGTAAAAGAAGAGGGAGAGAGTAACATTTTCTTGAGCTGCATATAAATCACAGGATAAAAGTGAATCTAGATGCAATGAAATGTTATATGACAGCAAACGTTTGACTGACTGTTCAGCTCAGAGTTCGAGTTGTATGATTACCTATTATTCATTAATTTTGCAGGCCTCCCCTGTTATTATTAATTAATTATTTTTTAATTATTACTTTAATTCTTCAAGTCTCAGTTTCATTTACTAGTAAATGAATTAACATCAGTGTCACTTGCAACGAGCATTAACATGTGTGTGGGTGACAGATCAGAATGTCTTTATCATTAATTACATTGTATTATTAATATTGTTGTTGTTGCTGTTATTGGTTGGTTGTTGTTGTTGGTTGGTTGTTGTTGTTGGTTGGTTGTTGTTGTTGTTATTGGTTGGTTGTTGTTAAGGTTATTATCATTATTACCTAAAAATTCTCACCACTATTATTTTAATCATTTAAAATTCAATGCATGGTTTTTGATTAAAACATTTTTTAATGGTACCTCAAAAGACGGTATTGAAAATATTTTAAGAATGTGTGTGTACGTGTTTGTGTGTATGTGTTTGTGTATGTATTTATGTGTGTGTTTGCTTAATTTGTTTATTTGTTTGTCTGCGTGTCTGTCTGTTTGTGTTTGAATGTTTTTGTTTAGGTGCTTTTCCCTGTTTGTCTATTTGTGTTTTCCTTATTAACTCGCTTGTGTTTGTTTGTTTGTGTATTTGTCTGTGTGTTTGTTTGTGTGCTTGCTTGTATTTCTTACCAGAATGTACATAAATTATATGTCTCTATGCTGTATAATGCTATCACTATCATAATTTTAAAGCCGTGCATGTGGATGTGATCTAGAATGAAGTTTTATCAGAATTTAATTTATTGACAAAAATAACTTTCTACTTTTTAGTTTAATAAATTTTTATTTGAATTCTTTCTTCCAATCAAACAAATTTCTTCCACTTTTATTTATTCTTTCAATCTTTTGTTTTTCATTTTCTTCACTCAGTCACTTATTCTTTCAAGCGTTCATTTATTCATTCATTCATTGAAAAGTTGATCATTTAATTAAGATGTACCAGGGTCTGAACTGTGACACTACATAAACAAGTATACACACGCACACGCACACACACACGCACACACACACGCACATTCACGAACATATACATACCTATTAAGCATACATACATTCATGTTCACATACACTTACATGTACACCTCTATATCATGTTTAATATAATATTAACAGGCATATTTATATAATGCAATATTTATTGAGCTCTTATTCTTAATGACATTCAATTCAAGTAGTGTGCATTTAACTAGTACCAACCAATTCAATGCCACAACATGCTACATATTGTATGTTTATATGTATGTACGCATACACAGAATGAACACACACACACACACACACACACACACACACACACACACACAAACACACATGCGTACAGCCACACGCACATGCACACATTTGATATACAGGTTACTTTTAATTCAATTATAACAACATATACACATACAAAGAGGCACACAGACACACAAACGGACACATACACACAAATAAATGAACAAACAAAAATATGTGGATCATATACATATGCATAGGTGAATGTACCTAAACATTGGTTGGCTTGGCATGCATGTCTCTCAACTCAACATGTATGTACTACATAAGAATATTAACAAATTATTATTATTAACAAATTATTATTATTAAAGCAATGCTAGGAATGACTGACTAAAACAAAATTTCTTGAAATGAAGTTACAAATAAATTTAATGAGAACAAAATTATTCAGAAATTATGAATACAACTTAAATATACAGCTTAATAATATAACTTATTAATACAACCAAACTAACGCAACTTATTAACATAATTTATTAAAACCTTTCAGCAGTACAACAGAATGTTTTAAATGATTGGAATAGTCAAGAAGAGAGACACGAGAACTAACATCACAGAACCACCAATGCAATAACATTCAGTAATAGAGACCCCATCCAATCAATGAATCAAACATAAACTAAACCAAATCTCATTGTGAGGTTAACCTCCAATTAGATGTGCCACAAATATCAAATAATAAGAACGAAATATATATGCACACTGAACTAATTAACTACAATATAAACAAACTGCCTGACAACAATCCAACCAGCAACTGACATCCAACCAGTAACCATGCCAACAACACAAAAGATGCAAATATATTAGAATGACACTCATCTAAAAAGAGATCTATCTATCTTTCACTGTCTGTTGACTCTCACCAATTTAGGCCATGGCACGAAAAATGTGAATAAACATCAAACCAATTAATGAACAAACGAACAAAGAACTTAAAAAAAAATTATTTAATCAACAAAACCAAATATAAACTAAGAGAAAAGCAAAAAAACCAGCAAAATTGAATGAACAAAAATTCATAATTGAAAAAATAAACAAAACAAAAAGGAAGAAACCACAAAGCAAAAACCAAGTAAATTAAACAAAGAACAAAGAAAGAGAAGTGAACAATGACGAACAATCAAACCTTGAAGCATGTTACGATAGGCCTGGTCCGTGATGGCGTAGACGTGTGGGGGCACCTCATGTCTCTTCTTGCCCTTGTACAATTCTATGACCTTCACATTCAAAATTAAATTAACCCTTTCAACTTATTAATATTAATATTTCATTTATTACAAGTCTGTGGCACAAACAGAACTGCATGCATAATTTAATAACTCAAATGATTGGATGAAGCTGATAGACAAATATAAACCAGCTGAATGCAGAATAGGATGCAAAATACTAATGTGTCAGATTTTTAGAAAGAAAAAAAAATTTATTTTGCATAAAGTACGGAGACTGAAGCTCAAAGAACTTTTACTGTTCCCAGATTATTGTAAGCTATTTCAGTCAGCTATTGTTAGCTATTTCAGTCAGCTATTGTTAGCTGTTTCAGTCAGCTATTGTTAGCTGTTTCAGTCAGCTATTGTTAGCTGTTTCAGTCAGCTATTTCTAAAAAGGTTATTATTGCTTAAGTTAATGTCACCATTTCCTCTTTTAGTTGTAATCTTCTGCCATATAATACAAATACATTACAAGAAAGTTCTTAATAAGACATAATGAATCATCACCCTTTTCCACTATTTTTGTTCATTAGCTGATGAACAAAGATAATATATAAGAAGCAGTTTGTATAATAAACATTTATTAACGCAATTTATTTATGACAGTTAAGATAAAATTTCTAACAAAAATTCTAATTTATATAGAGATAAATTTTAATAATTCAAATTTCATTCAGTTAAACAAATCAAAAATAAAGCCTACAAAAAGCCTGATTCAATGAATTATAAAACTAAGAATATCGCTAAACTACTTGAAAAAATATTTTTTATTTATCAATAAATAATGGAAAATATTATTTTAAATTAATAATTATTCTTAAAAATTTTATACAGAAATACTTCCATGAAGTCATTAACTTAATTAATAGGACAACAAATAAACACACACACATACACACACAAACAAATACACCCACAAACACATACACACACAAACACATACATACACCCACACGCCCGCACACAAACACACATTCACACATACACACACACACATATACACAAACACATACACAAACACAAATGTTGACAAAACCACATTCGCATCCATCACAAGCAGACCTTCTCAGTGTAGATTGGGAGCCTCTTGTAAGGGTTCACCACAACACAGAACAATCCTGAATATGTCTTGATTAATTTTTTGTTTTGGTTTTAATGACAAATTAAATAAATCTGAAGATTAATTTTTTCAAAAAAAAAGTAAAATTAAATCAATCAATCAATCTTCGTTATGCGTCCAGAGACCCGGTTTCCTGAGGTAGGACGTCGGTGAAGGACATATAAATTAAATGTTAATTTATATTTTAATTAATATTTTTATAAATATTCATCTACTTGTTAATCTCATTATTTACTCTACATAATTCATTAAATTTTATTTAATAAATTCAATATTAAAACACACACCATACAATTATATATTTTTATAATTTTTAAACATTTTAATAAATTGTTTTTAAAATACTGTAACAATCAATATCATATATACTGCTACAAATGAGAATTTATTAATATTTTTCTATTTTGTTTGTTTGTTGTATATTTATTTATTTATTTATTTATAAAGAAAAAAATCATTAGACAATCATTTAGTATTTTAGTTTAGTTTAATAACTTAGTTAGATAGAGTATTTGAATTACAAAAAACTCACATAGATTAATCCAGAGTAATATCTCTCCTTCAGGTTATGCAGGACTGAAGCTTCGTTGAGACAGGTCAGTTCAGCCATGTCCTCCACCTTATTGAACTTTGGAGGATTCATCTTCTGGACATCATCTTTGTTCAGCTTCACCCTCTTGTTGGTCTCCTGAATTTCAACTGTCACTTCGTCTCCTTTGTCCTCAATGAGTGAGGCAGGAACGAAGCCGTGCTGTTCGCTGGGCACCCACACCAACTTCTTGGAGGCCCATTGCGCCTGGGAGGCTGGATCATTCACTTTGTCTTTTCCAGCAACCAGGTATTGTAACTCTGGCCCCGTAATGCCGTAATCGTTGGCCATTTTCTAATTATTAAAAGAACTTCGAATATTTGAAATTCGTATTTTATTTTTAGGTGATTTTCAATTTAAACAAACAAGTTTCTCTTAAACCACTTCACCTTTTTTTTCTTCAAATATAAACAAAATAAGACTAAAAAGAAATTTAAGTTATGAACACTTGAAATATGTTGCTGCTTTTAACTGGAAATCCTTCTTCAAAATCGACGAGAAATGAATTGAAAAGTGTAAAATGGACGAACTTGAATGAGATTATTAAAGACACGGAATCAATAAAAACTTCTATTACCTGAGTTGTTTAACCGCCTAAATATAATAACATGTATACAACATGTATACAACACACATGTATTCAATATGTTTACAACACATACAACATGCATGTATGTAACATACATATCTACAACATACATGTATTCAACTTGTATACAACATACATATATACAACATGTATACAACATACATGTATTCAACATGTATCAACATACATATACACAACATGTATTCAACATGTATACAACATACACATATACAACATGTATACAACATACGTACATACATACGTAGAACAGACAGGCGCACTTACGTTAACACTGGCTTACTCACCAGCAGGTCTATTATTAAATGACGCGTGGGTGCAACATTAGAACAAGAAGACGGCATATAACACGTCGTATAACTCTTAAAATAAAAGGGTGAATGTCTTTGAGTAGCGCTCAACACATTAATAAATGTTTCAAAAAATTATTTCATTAAGTTTTAAACAGTGTAAATTAATAAAATCTGAAAGCAAGCAAAATAAGTCGGTTCACATTACATTAATTTTAAACTACTAATACAATCGCCAGAGTTATCCGCCTGGCTTAGTCACGTAATAAATATAATGTATAAACTATAAATCATTATTAAAAAACTGAAAAATTTTATATTTTGTGTGAAAAACAACCACGAATTAAGTTAAAATTGCAGGTTTAATTTTTTCTCAATGGTGTTCTTTCGTTTAAATTAGCTTTTTCGAGTTTTCTTTTATAATTCAGATACCATTCTTTTGCATCAAATTTCTGACTGCGTCTTTTTTCATAAAATCTTTTAACATATTTGGCTAAAAAGTACCAAGGTGTAAACAGCAAAGATGATAAAACAGACGTCAAAAATATCATTGCGGGGAAAGCTACAGCTCCGCGTTTTTCAAGGAATATTCCAAGGACGGGAGAAAATATTATTTGGCCGGCAGCTAACGCTGCGAACAGTACTCCCATTATCTTACCGGTCACTTGAATTGACTTTTGAACTAGAGTTATAGTCGTTGGTTGTATATTGGATGTAGCTATCCCCGTTAAAATGACTGAAATATATGTAAAAACAGGTTCAGAACTCTTGGACGTTCCTAACATCAGCAAACCACCGACTAGAAGAACTGAACAATTGAATAGAGTGAGAATGAAAGGAGATATCTTATTAGCCAGGTATATGAAGACGCAGTGAACGATGACCCTAATTAAGTGATACGTGGTTACTAGTATAGTACCATTAAATGGTTGCCAATGAAGAAATGATTCAACGTAAGTATAGAGTAAACCAGTCATCATGCCTTCTCTACCTCCGTTTGTTATTATGAACACCAGAACCACGATGAAGAATAAGACTGTAGGCAAGCCATAAACTAACTTTGGTGCACTACCCTCCAGGTTATCATCCAAAGAAACATCAGCTATGCTCGGTGAATGATGGGAGCTGTGTATTTTATCTGAGGTCGATTTTTTTCTATTTTCAGTTTGTTTTTGAATATTTACAATTTGCATCACATCTGAAACTTGCATCGAACTTCTTCGTCTTTTTATCTCTTCTTCAAAACTCTTTCTTACGTTTACTTTAGCTTGTTTTACCACATTAATATCGATCAACTCATCTGAGCTATTTTTTTCATCTTGAACTTTTGACTTTTCATCAACATATTTTTGAAACCGTACTAAATCATTATGCGAAATTTCTATAACATCCAATGTTTTTTTTCGCGAAATATTTGGCACACATTTTTTGTTTTCTTTATGGACTTTGCTCTCATTTGAAAAAAATTTAGGGTCGATATTTACGATTTTGTCAATTTTTTCATCAGAACTGTCTTTGTTGACATCATCAACATTGTCATCAGCAGCATTCTTCCCGAAAGTTATCGTAGGAGGCTTGTTACTGCAACTGATCGATCGCCTGCGTCTACTAACATTCCTAAATTCGAGAGAATCAAAGGCAGGGGTTGTTGTGTGCATGCTATTAGATGTTGAATAATGACGCCGTCTTGGTACAAATTTCTTTTTCTCAAAATTTTTCAAACTTTTTTTACCTTTATCTATCAAAAAAATAATAAAGCAATATAATGCCGCAATTTCATCAAACAGGCCTACAATAAGGTAAGCAATTTGAATTGGTTTGATTTTGCTAAAGAAAGATGAATCGCTATTTGACTCTTTTTGTATAGCGAATTTGGAGTCTTTTTCAAAACTTGTGTTTGGGGAAAAATTGACAACATCGGTAACGAAAGTTTCATAACCAAAGTTTGTGTTATTCATTATTTTGTTTTTAGTAAAATTCGATTTTGTCAGAAATGGTGCCACGACTTGAGGCGAGATAGCTGTTCCAACGACGTAAACGAGGGATGTTGTTTGTAAAATTGGTCCTATCATTTTCGGCTGGTTGCGCCATATTATGCAGTTGGCTGACATTGTTCCTGAAATGAAATTATAAAAATATGTAAGTGGAAAATGTTGTGTAATTGTTAAAAACGATGTGCTCTAGCGATCTGGTTAGGCAGATGCATTAAAACATTTCAACATCAACACATAAAGCGTGAAAACGAAATTGTTGATGGATATGGATTATGAGGGAATGAAAAAGTCATGTTCGAGTTTAAGATGAGTTGCTTCGTGTGCATTCAAGCAAGCTATGTGCATGTTAATTGTGGACTTTTTAGAGAACTACTGATTAGTAAACCTAACAAATAAAAACCAAATGAAATTTTTTTAATAAGCATCTATCTAACTAATCCATTAAGCGAGTACTTAACTGAAATAAGGTAAATAGCTAAAAAAAAATATTAGCTCAAAAAGAGGTGAACAAAAAAATGAAAATTGTACATAAAACGTGAAACAATTTAAGTATTATAATAAATTGAAATTAGTATAGGAAAAAAAGCGATTACAATGATGATTTTTGATTCAAAGTTGATTTCTAAAAACAAAATTTCAATTGTTTTTTACAATGTTGAAAATTGTCAATATTTAAATGAGAAAATAACCGGACACCAATCCAAAGTTGAACAGAAATCCAATAGAAAGAATCATTTGATATCCAGATAGGATGTTGGAGAATGGTGCTGCTCCAAATCCAAAACCTTGAGCACACAAGCAGAGGCTAAGCAAGGCCAATCCATTGACCATGTCGAATAAAGGACCGAGAAGAATTGATCCAAATATTCCAGCAATGCCAATCCACACTAACGTGTTGGACATTTGGGCCGTTGTACTGAGAGTCAGTGCTTGAATGTCTGGTAGTGTCGGACTGAAGACACCAGCGTTGAACCCCTTAACAAATAAAAACATTGTTGCTTATTTTAATTTTTAATTTTTGCTATCAACAATGAAAATATTGAAATCAATTCGGTTTTAAGAGAGGCACGTTCGAATGTCTTCAGTGATTTGCCGAATGTTGATCGGAAGTACAACGAGTAAGACTAATTTATTATTACGGCACTAATGGTTATTCTTATCACGTTATCTCGTTAAGTTAAGGAGGCCTACAACTTGATGTCGATGAACTATTTTTGAATTAGTAGGTATCTCTTTTTATCAAAATCCAAATTATTGAATATATGTTAGAAGTTATTTAAAGAATTTAATATATTTGAGTTGAAACCTTACAGCATTGAACGCTGCCAAAAGTACCGCTGATGTTTTGATTAACTTCCAACTGTTTTTCATGTTGTATGGAAGATTTCGCTCGAAGATTGTCAACTTAATAGCGAAAAATTGATATCAATAGTATTTATCCAACTGATAATTTTCACAAACACCACAAGGAAATAATCATTTCGTTTCTACAAAATCACGTGATTGAGCGATATTAATCAACTGAATTTTTGTCGGGTAATATATTTGCTCTTAGTTATTTTTTGTATATAACGCAAAATTTTTAATAATAGCATTAACAGAGACTAGAGTTAATAGTAGTACACGCAAGATGTATGCTCGAAAACAAAACAGGTCCAACGACGTACAGGCGAAGTTTGCGTACAACACGTTGAAACGGCAACACGTTTGTTTAATGTCATTCACAATTTAAAAAAAAGTGCAAACTTGCCTTTTTGTGTCTAAAATTAATTTCACGTTTGCTGTTGCGATGAACTAAAATGATAGACACCATAGTTTTTTCAATGTTTGCTAAATTACACTGTTTATTTCAGGAAGCCAAATCTTTTTTCAAAGTATTTATATTTTAACCTTGCTGACTGGTAAAAATGAATGCATGCTAGTTATTTAAAAATATTTTACAAAAGAATTCAAATCAGTGAATTGTGGTTCCAAGAAAACATTCAGTAACATTGAAATGTTCTGCTTAAGGTTAGTGGTAATATGTTTCAATTTAAATATCATTAGAAGTCTGTAGAGAGGTGAAAAAGCTGGCATCACCGACGAATGAATGAATTTCAAGTTGTACTTTTTATCGTTTTTGTATCTTATACTTACACCAGTTCCTTTTAAGTGAACGCTATTAAATTATTTAAACATGCTGACGACGCCAGCCTTATTCTCCCATCATCCAGGGGCGGATCTATACATAGAAAACGTTGACGGGGGCTAAAGTTTTGAAATTTGACGGTAGGGGCCAAAAACTACCAAAGTTTTTGCTGGTCCAATCAAAATTAGGCTGGCGAACATTTAACCTTTATTTCCCTATACACATTTTTTTGGTCAGTTTTCTACTCGAAACGATGTTTTTTTGGGTAAAAACTAAGTTTTACTGAGATTTAATAAATTCTACTGTGAATAGGATTCAGGTTGATGTTGCGTGTGTGTGTGATAATTAATGTTGCTGTTGAGTTGTTAACAAGGGCGTAGCCGGAGTGTGTTTCGGGGTTCATCCCCTCGAAAGAGACTAAAACATTTCAGAATTTGATCTGTTTGTGTTTGCTTTTCGCCATTGTGAAACAATAGTTTAAAAAATTTCATTATTTCTACTTTTAAATTGATATTCCTTAAAAATTAAACATTTTTATTGTATTTGCGACATTGGCAGCTTTAAAATTTTGGTTATAATAATAAAAATGTAAGGCATGATGGTTGTAATGAGCTCAAATGTCGTTGATATTCATGAGAGTAATGGTAGGCAATATAAACATCTGGCTCACTCACAGCCAAGTTTACAAAAAATAATAAAACTAATAATATTGATTAGTAGTAATAATAATAATCATGTATGAAAAACTCATGACCGTGTAGAAGGATTTTATTTTCAAATGCATGGGTATGTCTTCATATGGGTATGCCTGTATGTGTACATTCTAATTGTACGAGATGAATATGTGTGTTATTGAGTAGGAAGTAAGCTAACTCAGGGCGGGAGAGATAAAGTTTGATTCTATATTTACAATAGAAGCTAGTTCAATTTTTGACATAGCCTAAAATTTCTTGCTTGATTATTTAACCTCGAAAGTATTGCAACGATTTTGGACAACGTTTGGAAGAAAAAATTCCTTGTATGTCGCGCGTTTTTGACGCTAATTTATTCATTTATGCTTAATTTCATGTATTTATCTTTTGCTTATTTGTAGCTCACGCAATTTATTTGTTTTTTTTTTATGTGTATATAATAAAATTGTCTAAACGCTTGAAAGAGTCTTCAGGCATACAAGAGGTATGTAAAGCTAGTTATGCTTCAAAAAATCATCCAATTCCGCTTTAGTACGCCCAGATATCATATAAATAGAATATATATATATACTCTCTATATAGATACACTCTATTTTAAATGTTGGTAACATTACCAGTGTCAAACTGGCACACCAGAAAACCATTATCTAGCCTACTACAACGGTGTAAAATTTTTTAAAGAATTAAATTACAAAATTATATGAAACGTACCACATTCGAAAAAATGCTAAACGTTCATAATAAGTTACATCTAGATGCCAGGCATATTCAGTTTAAAGAAAAAAATTATGTTATAAATTAAGTTGCATGTTATTTATAATTTAAATTTTATAATAAAAAATAACAGTTTTTACTGTAATTACATATGTATTTCGATAGTACTTCTCCATTTTTATTCTTTTGTTGCTATATTTATGCGTTTGCCAAGGTTTGAACTTTATAAAGAAAAATAATGTTTTTTGAACCCCTCCAAAAATGTCTATGGGTGTTAATAACAGTCATTACGATTATTAATTGAAATGTTATTAATTTTTTTTGAACGCATCTTGTTTATCAACATGGCACCTATAAACTTGTTAACGCGGCACTTTCTGCCATTTAGTTTAAAAGCCCATATTTTATTGTGCCGGCTTTAGTTCAAATTATGCTTTTTATAATTAATTTTAAATAAATAAATGATGTGTGTTAGTGTAATTTAATTGAATACAACCAATGAAATGGAAGAACTACACGTTGTTAACAATAACCGGCATAACACGGTGATGATTGCTGAACCTGGTTTTACTGATTTAGGTAAAAAATGAGGTTGTACTATCAAAAGAAAAGCTTGGATTGGAAGATTGGATTGGTATGTTCTGAAAGATATAAAAAATTTTGTTGCAGGTAATATCGAAGAAGATGACAATGTTATTGTTTTGATGGAGATGATGGGAGATGCTGAGAAAAATGTTGAAAATTATGTTGAAGGTACTGTTGAAAGAGATTGCGAAGATGATGTTGTTTTCACTGGAATTGTGAGAAAAAATGTGACAAGAAATCATCTTCATCATCATGAATCTGAGGAAGACAGTAAAATGGAAGATGAATGTGCTGTGGAAGGTTCGGAAGAAACCACATTGATGACTGAAAATGAAGGAAACATTGATGTTGAAAAAGAAGACGATGATGATGGAAAAATAGCAAAGTGTTCACTTGTACTTATGGATCTGGAAACAAACAGCTTGGAAAGTTTGTTTGATTTTTTTTTTCATAAATTGTATTTTAAAATAAAATTTAAAACCTCATTAAGATTGTAAAACAACCATGTCTGTTTTAATAGATCATATGGTGTAACATACTGTTTACTAAGTAGTCATTTTGTGTAACTTCATTGCCCTCACTAATACAAGACCTTATATTTTACATGGAATTTAAAAAATTTTTTTTTAATATTCAACAATTTTTAATATTTTTTTAATATTTAACACCCCCTATATTTTTTCCTTAGCTGAAAGTTAGCATGTGTGCAAAATTTCATTCAATTCTGACAATACAATATTTAGAGGTTGCTCAATGACATTCAGTTTTTCACCATATTTAGCATATAAGCGAATGTTGGTCAGTGCTACAATTTTGTGTTTAATGTTTATTTTGCAGTAAAATGAACAACATTCTTGTGAAAATCATGTAAGATTTAACAGTTCTACAAATTTATACTCAAAATAACAAAATATTCAACACTAAACAAACAGTTCTCACAAGGTAAAGGCAACTTGAAAGTTCAGTACTGTTGATCTTTGATTGAGAAACTGAAATTAACTTGAGGCAATTAATGTACTCAGTTTATGTTTTTCTGTTAATCACTCATAGTATGTCAGACTCAAAACATAGCAGCAGCTGCTTGAGCACTGGCTAATGTGCGCTTAGAGGAGTCCGGAATACGTGTTCGATTGTCCTCCACCACCTGTATCAGTTTTTGCAGTTGTTTCATTTTTGGTTATAGACTGGTTAAAATTTGTCATGAGTGCCACAGTGCGTTCTGCAGTGTCATTAACGACCTTAAGTGACTTCACAACATTTGCTACTTTTTGAAATAAAGGAAGATCATTCCATGAGTCTGGTTCAACATCCATTCCAAGTGATAACAATGCAGCACGAGATGTACCTGATACCAGATCATGCAGTGGTTTGCTTTTCACCTGTTCCAGTTCAGTTGCAGGATATTTGACACCTTGCACACTCCAGTCAGAATCTACTGCAGTCATTCCTTCCACAATCAACTGCTTCTCAGCATTTGCAACCTTATTTGAGAACAATGACAGCTAAACCATTTCTGTACCGAGATACCACAGATGATTCTTCAACTTTTTTGTGGTAGCACTTGCTACATTCTTGTTGATTTCAGAGTATTGTTCAATTCTGCTCAGAAGTTGCAGGTCATTGACTGGTGCATCACTGGGTATTGGGCACAACATCCATGCTGGCACATATATATGGGTTGCAAATAGGCAGAATTCAGTTAAACTTTTTGTTTCAGTTGCTGTTAGCTTGAATTCATTGTGGAACAAATACATTTTGAGACAGTAGATCACTTTGGCCATCCATCTGGCCATGTGATATGCTCCAGGAACACGGAAATGGTACTTGCCATCAGTCTGCATTGGATAACCCAGCACTAAGAGACAGAGTTCAACCAACTCCTTGTAATCCTCTCGTGGGATGTATGAGCTGTCAGCTGAAAGAAAACATGTCAAAGATGGTACTATGTCAGACCGCATCATCTGTAGCAATGAGTGGTTCATCCTGTCATCATCAAGTGGCTTGTGGTTTGACTGATTTATATTTGGCCAGTAGGCTCGAAATCTTTCAAACATTCCAATGTTGGGGCCACAGCTTGGACCAAACAGAACTGTGAAAACTTCACCGATTATCAATTCATGTACATGATGACGACAAGCAAAGTGCAAGAGATTTCTATGGAGCAGTTTCTCCAGCAAAACACATGTTCCACTTGACGTCCCAGTATTGGCAGCAGTAGTATCAAAGCACATGCCTATAATGTCTTCACTAACGTCCCATAATTTGAGCAACTGAAAAGTTGCATTGGCCTGTGCTTGTCCCGTGCTTGATGCAATTTTAACAATTCCTAAGATTTTCTCCACATTACAGCCAGTCACAACAACAGCCAGTCTATCAGTTCTGGAGTGTGGATCATCATTCATGATCTTCCCATCCCAGTGAACCAGAAGGGGGTTTCTGTCACGATCCTGAAATTGTTGACGAATACTGCTGTCAATGGTTGATCGATGTTGCTGTCGTTTACGATGAACTGTGGAATGTGACAGAGATGTATCCCTGATGTCTTGCCCACTAGCTTGTGCAATGGCTGCTGCCAATACTGTGAACTTTCTATCTGACAGGTTTATTCTATCCAGTGCTGAAGCAACATCTGGTGACGACAACATATCCTGCACAGTTCGTGTTTTTTTGCTGGCACTGCTTGACAGACTGTCTTCTACTTCACTGATCTGCTTTTTGTAGTACACTGGAATTTCAATTTCATAGTTGTCCTCTGTGTCCTGCTGTTCACTATCACTGTCATCAGAACTAGATAAATGTAGTGAGGTACTTTCTGTCATCCGCTCCTGCTCTCGCTCTTTTCTCTCTTCTTCTTTGCATTTACGTTGTTATGTGCGCTCTTCTTTCTTGGTCAGATCTTTATCAATGCCACTCATTTGCATTCGTTGACTGCCCCTCTGGTCTTCAAGAAATTCTATATCTTCCTGAATTCGGATGAGCTGCATGGCGTGTTGGTGAGCAATATCAAACAGCATGTGCTCCTTTTCTTCAAATTCCTTCTCTCGTGCTCGTTGTGCTTCACTTTGTCTGTTTTTGTTCTTTTTTATTAGCTTGTAGTCATCAACTACCGACTTTACTTTTTCTACAACATGAGTATGGTAAGTTGTTGGTATTCTAGCCTTGTTCCACATGTCCATGACCTTATCTGACGACAATTTTGCACTTTCAGGCACAGTTTTCTTTTCTACTTGATGATAATAAAAAAACATTCCCAGGACATCACCTGTTGTAGGCAATACATTTACTGGAAGTTCACTTTGTAACTGTCCAATCAGCCATATGTTAGTCATGCTGCGTGTTGTAAGAGCACCACAGTTTGAATTAGAAGCCATTTTATACGTAGTTAAATATGTACAGTACCGGTATTTCAAAATCACCTCAAATTACTAGTAAATCGACACAGTTAAATTATGCAGATATTTATCCTATTTTACTTTTTGCTGACAACAAATATGGTGACCATAGAATATTTAATAATAATAATGCATTTTAAAATATCTAATATCTATGTTTTGAATTAAGTAAGTAACCAACTTTTGATACTTTTCCAGTTATATTTGTATTTGGTTTTGAAATAATGAATCATCACATTTTTATATAATTTTGAGATGCATGAGCAACCTCTAAATTTAATTTGATTTGTCTTATTTTTGGTTTGTAAGTTTTTAGGACCCAATGGAAACTTTTCAGAGGGTGTGCACTCAAATCAGACAAAAAATTTTTTTCCCCATTCAAATGTGAACCACCCTAATATCCACTGTTATATAAATCATGTTCATATCATGTTCAGTGATTGGAGAAGAATAATAAAAATTAACATATATGTAGCAAGAAATATCAGTTGTTATTGAGGTTGGTTAACATTCATGTACTAAAATTATGTAATTGGTTGTTTAACCTAAATGAGCTGCTTGTGTTTAGAGTTAGACCATAAATCACTTTTCATAAATTATTCAATTATTACACCTTTGACATAAAATTAAAATAAAATTCAACTAAAAGTGCAGAAAATTAACTTCTTTTTTTTTTTCAGAAAAATAATTTTACTTTTTTTCACCTAATCTTCTGCATTAATCACCAATACCTAAGTACTTTTCTGAAATACAAATTGTACTGATTTCTATTTAATAAAGTTCATTGGAATTGTAATAAACAGAAGAGATTTATTTTCAACCATAAAAAAAAGTTACTTGAAAAAAATTTGTGAAAATTATTTTTTGCTACATATGTTAATTTTTATATTTCTTCTCCAATCATTGAACATGATTCATATAACAGTTGATATTACTTTGTTACATTAGGAAAATTTACAATTTCTGAATTTTACTTCTAAGATCTTTTGTTCAATCTAGCAATCTTGAGCCAATCTTTTTTTATATTTAACATTTAATTTTTTTTAAATGCCCTTTTTAAGATAGTTTTGTTTAATTTGGCATAACTTAATTAAACGTTTTTCGAAATGCTTCAGATTGATTTCCATGCCACGTTTTTTGAGTTAAATTATCAACCTGCTTGTACTCTTTACTTCACAAGTTAATAATGCTGTTAAAGAATTTTTTTAACATCATCTTTGATGGATGTAAAAACTGTGCTTCTCTTGGAAATTGTCTATTTTGTTTCTCTTTACTATGACCTTGATTGGATATGCATGTGTATGTTTTGTAAATTTGTTGTTACATTCTACAGAGAACTGTGAAATATTGGAAATAGCAGCTGTGTACATGAACCTCTCATTTAAAAGGTACATTCTACCTAGAAAAGCTATATCACCATCGGCGTCGGCACTGAATAATTTAACATTCGACGGTCAATATTTGTATTATAAGACAAAACAAGTTGATGCAATTCCTTGTGTGCAGGCCCTGAAAGAATTTTTAGTATTCTTGCATCAGGTATCGAAAATAATGAATAACTCTTATATATTTCTGGCGGCTCATAATGGCGACCATTTTGATTTTAAACACTTGTTTAGAACGTTCAGGGAAGTTAATTTAATAGACGCTGCTCTGGCCATAGTTTACGGTTGTCTGGATTCTCTTCTATTCCTCAGAGAACTTTACCCCAAGCTTCTTTCACACAAACAGGAAGATTTGGTAAAAAATTTTTTAGGACTGGAATACACAGCACACAATGCACTGGACGATGCCAAATTCTTGCAACGTTTGTTAATTGCCGTTTTTTTAGATAAAAGCGTCGATGGTAGAACTTGTGCTGTCAGATGGATACTTCCTGCTGAAAATTATTGATTTCTTTTCTGGTGTATTTGTTGTAATTTTATTTATTTATATTTTAAAATTTCTCGTCGACAGTAAAAACAACATAATATTTTTTAATAATATGTTCTATTTCACGTGCAGCACGTTTTTAATGCATCTTAAATTTTTTTAAAGTTTGAAATGTTTTTATATTAATGCATTAATTAATAAACGTTTACATGAAATTCTTTTTCCATTCAAGCATGACACCTGAGTTGAATCCATGTGTGTGTGTGTGGGAGTGGGGGGGGTTCAGACTAGAGGTCTACGCGGGAACACATTTCTATTCCCTCACCCGCCCCTCCTGAAAATAAATTTTACCTCACCCATCCCCTCACAAGTCTTCCCTCACCCGCACTCATTCCCTCACAAGGGTATTTGCGGGAAAACTTACGGGAAATTTTCCATGTAGACCTCTAGTTCAGACTGTCGTATATACGGTTATTAAGAAATATCAAAACGCATTTTCTGCAGTGTTGAGTTTGTAACCAAATTTTTCAAGTTTTACAATTATTCTATTAATATTCAATTTATTCAATATTTGAATTTAAATAAATTGAATAATATTGATTAAATTAAAACTTTTAAAAAGTTCTAATTAAAAATAATACTTAAAAAGTCCGAAAAATTTAAAAACTTAGTTCCAAACTCAACAATGCGGAAAATGCGGTGATATTTCTTAATGTATATAATCCATGGTTGAATCGCGCGTTATCAAACGGGAGGAGCTTAACTACATGTTCACCAATTAGAACTCCAGCTCGCAAGCGTGAGCTTTGTAATCAAATTAAATGTAAATAAGAACATTCGCGCCCACCGTACGTCGAAATTTTTTTGTATATAACTGATTCTAAAATTTTGTTATGTTTAATCAGTTATGGATAGCGTTGGTGAAGAGCACACATATTTTCCTCGAGATGTTATCATAGCTGGATACGTTAAAAACAGCATTTCAAATGTCGGCCTCCTATCAACATTTTTTGGAGTGATCTCGATCGTTCTCGTTTTATTATTTAAATACTCAAGTCAGCTGGATTACCTCAGCAATTCTTTCATAACAAGAATAAAAATATGTTGGTTTTGCCTGTGCGGTTTCATACACCTGTTCTTGGAGGGATATTATTTCTTGAAATTTCGAACGATAGCTTCCGACGAATCGTTTTTTGGTCAGATGTGGAAAGAATACAGCCTCTCGGACAGCAGGTACATCACTGGTGATAGCTTCATCGTTTGCATGGAGGGCGTGACGGCGTTCGTCGACGGACCCCTTGCCTTTTATGCCGCGTACCTCTTTCTAAGGAACGAATCGTCTGGATACATAGTCCAGTTGATTCTGAGCTTGTGCCAACTCTACGGAGATACGTTGTATTTCCTGACGGAGTACAAGGATGATTTTAAGCACGGACCATACAACCACCCCGTTTATTTTTGGTTTTATTTCTTTTTTATGAATTTGTTATGGATAGTAATTCCTCTTTTTTGCATTATTGAGGCTTACGTTATCTTGAGCAAGTGTACTCATCAAACGTTCAATTGCGTGAAAAAAGATTAATTTTTTTCTTATAAACGATTTAAAAGGGTTTTAATATCGGCTAGTATTATTTCTCGATCGATATTTTTGAGATACAAAGTTCTAGAAAGTTTATTAAATATTGAAAAAAAGTTCAATCAACGTAAATAAAAATATGAAACACACACACTTTATTTGCATACAGTTGATTTATGAAATTAAAAATAAAATCAAGGTGTGCCATGTTCACTGGTTTGTAAACGCAGGCAAACACTGGTGCAACTGGCAGACACGAAGTTTATAAGCAGGTTGACGTTTAGATCGAGCACTTCAAACGAAACATGTATAATCTCTCACATACGTATGCAAATCGGCGTTTTTAAATTATAAAAAATCTTTACATATATGAAGAAATATATTGTTTAAAAAAATATCAATGAATCAAGCTTTTAAACTGAACACGAGATTAAGAAATTGTTCGTATCCAATGGTGATCCAGCCATCCATGTCCGTGTCAAACTGGCGGAATGATGAGGTAAGGGTCTGCAATAGAAGAAGAATTACATCGTTAACTAACGTCGGTGAATGGTGAATGGATCAGTCGCTATCACATGGCAATCCTCTTTCATTATCAAAAACTTCATTTATTATCACACGAAGCGTTGTCGTCACTTTCCGCAGCTCATTCATCACTTTACACCACATTCATCATCACAAGTATGTGGCGTGCTTCCATTACCGATACTTTATAACAACCGCTGTTCGTAATATTCTTTAACGAAGAAAACAATCAATGGGCTGGGCACTTCCCATCATTTACAATTTTTCAAATTTATTTAGAAATTAATATACCATACTATATATAAATAAACACATAATGAATGATACAGTGGCGAATCTAGGGAAGGGCCAGGGGGCCATAACCTTCACATTGTAAACAGTAATGTTATTAAAAGTAGGTAAAACTCGGTTTTTGCGCAAGAAGAGTCGCCAGCCCAATTTTGGCCACGCTATCACAAATTATTACAAATCTTGGCTCCCCTTGTCAAAATTTTTTTAGATCCGTTTGAAAACGCGAACGAGTACAAAGAGCAACACAAGCAATCAGACAGAACGACAAACAACACTAACAAACAAGCAGAACAACGAACACTAACAATCAGACAGAACAACAAACAACACTAACAGACAGACAAAACAACAAAGAGACCAAACAACAAGCCGACAAAACAAGAAACAAACAGACAGGACAACAAACTACCTGAAGGACAACGCAGCACTGGATGAAATCATCAAATGCAATTGTGTTTCTTCCTTGCCTGTCAAACTTTCTTACTAGCAGGGAGATGAACTGATCTGAAAACCTGTACCCTGGGGAATCATTCAATTTTGTTGGTTGTGGGCTTGTTAAATCATAAATAAATTTCAGCAAAACTATTTTTGACAAATGATAAAATTAACAAGATTGTCACAATTATTAAGAAATTAACAAACCAAAAGTTGTGAGAGCTTGTTTGAGTTCTGCTTGATCTATGGAGCCAGAGTTGTCTCGATCGAATCCCTTGAAGCACTGCTGCCAGTCTGTCACGTACTTCCAGAGGCCAGCAAATTCTTGAAAGTCTATAGTACCATTGTTGTTGCGGTCAAACATTCCTACATGAAGTAAATAAAAGTTAACAACGAATACATCAAAGTAATTTAAGTCAGCAATATTTTGTCTGGCAAGGCAAATGAAAATACAAACAACCTTAGAATTAAAAAAATTGAACTATATTACATTAACACAACCATTAAAGACATTTAGAAAAAAGTTTTATTAATTATTAATTTAAAATGAATTAATATAAAGTGTGACAAGTAAACATGGAAGCCAACAATACTTATTACTAGCCTAGAAAATCATTGAAGACAAAAAATAATAATAAATTATAATAATAAGTAAAATAATAACAAAAATAATGATGAAAAGTCATTATTCACCTATCATGAGCCTCACTGTTTCTGGGTTGAATGGTGTCCATGTGCCTTTGATGAATAAATTGAATTAGTTTTTTTATTTATTATCTTAATGTGGATATAATAAAATTATGTATAAATTGACTAAAAAAACAAAAAAAAATGATGAACCAATAAAATAAAATGATAAATAACTTTTCTAAAATCAAACTAAAGATATGCTGTTGATTACAACATATTATAAAATAATTGTTCATGTTGATCTATATTTAAAACCTCCAATTATCTTAGTTATAAATACACTATAATAATGAATAAATTATAAATAAATACAGTACTTTTAATTTATAATACAACAATGACATAATATATTCATATAATAATTATGCATACATATTATTCTCATTATACAACATTTTCTATGTTTTATAAATTACATTATAATTATTTATTTTCATGTAATATCAATTAAATTAATAAAAATAAATTTTAATTTAATATTTGTTTATTAACTATTTAAGTAGTATTAAATAATTTAATTTAAATTAATTAACATAATTAAATTAAACTTTAATTATTATTAAAGTCTTATAAACAGTAACCATTTGATAGGGCCTGGCCTAGTTCTACTGCTGTTATTGTTCCACTTCTGTCTCTGTCCACACTGAAAGTGTTGTATCCATAATTTAATAATAATAATATCATTCAATTTAATTTAATCATTTTTTAAATTAATATTAGTTATTAATTTTAATTTTATTAACAAAAAAAATAGAATAAATCAAAATTTATTAAATTAATTAAAATTTACTACGAATATGTTTTTTCAAAACTCAAGAACTTTTGAGATAAAAGTAAATTAATTAAATTAATAAAATAAAATGGAGTGACAGCCACTACACCCGACCAACCTTTGAAATACTTGCCACAAAAAGTTCTGGTCAGGTTGCTGGTACGCCATCTTTGATGAATATTTTGGAAAAACCCAAAAACATTTAGCTGATTATTATTAAATTGTGCAACCGGTGCAACTAGGAAATGAATATCAAATCGCTGGAGTGATTTTGAAATCTAATGCTGATGACCTTTCTGCTAACCCGTTCACGTTATTACTTTACTATATTTCGTTAAGACTAAAAGTACTACTAAGACTAAAAGTACTATGATTAGTGAGTATTTAACTTTCAGAACTTATTTACAAGAGTCTTATCAAACTACTAATTCCAATGTAACCAATGCAAAATGCAGTAGAAAGTTGGGAAAGATGAAGAGTTCAAGAGAGCAGATGAGCAGTGGAGCTTTTGAAGTACCTAACAATAAGAAGTCCCATGCTTGCGTTGCTTAAATGACGTAAACAAAATTTACGGAGGTTCAAAAACAAAGGTAATTCGACAAAAATCGCTTGATTTTTGTTAAACTACAAATGAAAAAAAAATTCTAAATCATTTCTAATGATATGTTGATTAAAATCAATTTTGAAAAACTTATTACGAGATACATTGAAACTAATTAATTTTCCTTTGGAAGTATTTATTTCATGTGAAGAAACTTCAGCTCAGAAAATGCTGTGAAAAACTTCAGTGCTATCACAAATGAAACTGACGTATAGTAGATGATCATAAAAATCGTCAACATTTATTTGATTATTGAAAGAAAAAGAATTTCAAACTGTTCAAGGAGTAGATTCTATCAAATAACTAACAAGCATCAATGACATCAGCTGCAAAGTAGCAATTAAAATCATGTAGAAGAGAGAAAATATCGTTTGAATAAGATGTCCCGGAAACAGATCTTCTACCCTGGTTTCTTCTGGCCGTCACTGCTGCTGCAAAAAATTCAAAAGGAAGGAATGCATCTTGCAATAGCTGATCTAGGAGTCCTCCTCAAAACCATGGAAGAAAAAATTTTGTGTATAATATAGTAATAAAATAAACCGAAATTAGCAAAAAACGGCCATCGACTAAAACGGTAATACAAGAAATAGAATAAAAAAAGTCATCAACTTTACAATTTTGAAATCACACCCCTTACCGAAAATTTCTGGATCACTCAAGTCATTTTGGAAAAAAGATGACGTAGTTCTTGCAGTTTTTGTTGATGTCGAATTTAGGAACCTGTTGAAGTAGTTTTTTGAGGATTTGTAAATCATACTAAAATAATTGTAATCCGAAAGAATTAAAAATACTAATCTATTGAATAGTTAGTCTTAAACTTATTACCACTGTTAAATAGTTAAAGAATTGTTTTCATCACATATCTCATTATACAACACTGAAATGGTTTAAACAAAAACATAAAAAATAGATTGTGCTTTAATTAGAAAAAAAGTTTTGTAACGAAAAAGAAAAAAAACGGCATTGTGAAGCGATCTCGAAATTTCAATTCCTTTTAAAATATACTTGCATAATTATGGCTAGACAAAATAATTGATATTTATACCTAAATTAATATTCTTTGATATATTTTTATGGTTAAAAAACTAACTATCAAACCCATCAAAATTATTGCTAAATAACGATACAAAATCTAGGTTTTTCGAAATTAAATAAATAAACACACACAAACACACACAAACGTCGTACTTTAACCGATTTAAACATCTCGACAGCGATGAAGATTGTCACATTGATTTATCGATTTTATGGTCGGGAGTAACGGCAACACGAACCAACCAACCAACAACAAAAACAACATCAACATCCTCATCTTGACAATCAGAGAGAGATTTGGTGTGATGATGAATAGTGAATCGTACGATCGTATATGATGGCAGTCAGCAGACTAGCATCAAGGCTCTTAAGTGCAGTTTTTATTATCACGATTGCATGAAATGCTTATCATCGAAATATTTGGGAAAGTAAGGAGTATACAATTATTTATCTATTTATTCACACACGCGTGCACAAGTACATACCCACATATACAACACACACGCTAGCACATTATATATATATATATATATATATATATATATATATATATATTAGGAAGAAGACCAAGTTCTATACAGTTGTTCAAAAAATCCACCGACGATTCAGCATTAACAAGTTTTATGGTTGATTTTCTAATATTTTGAACTAGTTCTTTACAATTAAGTCTATTCAAAATGTTGAAATCCATTTTATAATCGTTTATGATTTTAATTGTTAAAATTAATCAAGCAAGATCCCATTTTTATAATCGTTTATTTTTTATATTATTATTAAAGTTATGCATATAGATCTATTTCGACGTAAATAGATCTATATGCATAATATATGCATACTATGCATACTAGTTCAAAATATTAGAAAATCAACCATAAAACTTGTTATGCTGAATCGTCGGTGGATTTTTTGAACAACTATATATATATATATATATATATATATATATATGCATATGTGGGTGCGTGTGTGTGCGTAGTATAAATAAATAATTATATATACACATATAGATATACCCACCACAAGTATAGAACATATTCATCATAAATATACATTTTATATGTAGGCTGTTTGTTCTGTGTATGTATCTTCTTGACGTGTGATAGAAAATAGAACCAACACGCTAAATTAAGCATGTCCATATGCGTATGTAGAGATGTGGATGTTGAGTGGATATGTTGGAGGTGCGTGTATAGTATAAAAAAGCAGAGGACAATGATTTGAATGTCGTGTCGTCGGCTGGCGTGTTGGTTGTTTGCTGGTTTTCATTGATGAATTCCTGAAAGTACATTAGTATTTATTATTATTTATTCAGGTTGATTTCTTCGCCACCAGGATTTTGAGGGAGTTAATGTTTTGTTTAAAACCGTGTATCGAAGTTTTGATTGGATAATAGAATAGTCTAGAATAGTCTAGAATAGAATAGTCTAGAATAGTCTAGACTAGTCTAGAATAGAATAGAATAGAATAGAATAAAATAGAATAGAATAGAATAAAATAGAATAAAATAGAATAGAATAGAATAAAATAGTGTAGAATAGAATAGTATAGAATAGAATAGATTTTCCAAAATAAATAATTCAAATTAGTAAAATGTTTGATTGAAAATATTCTGTTTAACTTTACATCTTTTGGTATGACATCTTTACTTCCAGATAAAGACTTACAGCCAAAATTTATCTACGGCTATATTAAAGCTAAAAATAATTTTACGTGCATTCATTTATTGGGTTAGGTTAGTTGAATGTTTATTTTTCAATTTTTTGTTTTATATTAAAAGCATACGGCCAAAAAATTTCTAAGTATGTTACTCTCAATGACTAAACCAATATGCATCAAAACCTTTGAACCAACCGACAACAATACCTATCTGTTTTTAAAAGAACTTATTAATAAATTTATCTTTATATCAGGAAACCCTCTAGATAAAAACTACATTAAAGAATACGTGTCGATTCTGCTTCAAAAATTTAATTCCTACTCTTTACTTAATGAGGCTCTAGATAGCCTTTCTGTGCGTGACACTATAATATAGAGTATAGCAGAACCCGACAATGATTACAACCTCATCAATGGCTAGTTAATCAACAAAGGGTCATACATACATGCACACGTACACACACACATACATACATGCATACGTACATACATACAAAACCATTTTTGTTTACTTTTAAAATCTGCGCTTAGAAATTGAAAAAAGAATATTTTAGTACCAATTAAATGCAAATATAAAATTAATACATTTCATTATATTAGTTTCTTGGAAACATTCGATACATTCATTCATGCATGCATGCACATAAAATATGCATTCCTGGTGCATGCATGCATGCATGCATTGCATAGCATACCTGTGAATATCTAGGGAGACATTTTTCACTGAACATCAATAAGAATTGTTTAATTTAAACAACTACTCCTGCGTATATTTTTACCATAGTAGCAACAAAAATAACGTACTACATTAACATAAATGATCAAACATTAACATAAACGACTAAACATTAACATAAATGACATTAGCATAAATAACATTAACCTAAATAACATTAACATAAATAACATTAACATAAATAACATTAACATAAATAACATTAACGTAAATAAAAAGAACAACAACATAAATAGCAGCAACAGCAACAATAACCAAAATAACATAAACATCGAAAATGTGAAAACAACAACAAAAATAAAACAACACAGACCCAACAACAACAACATTAATAAATACGACAGCATCAGGTTATGAATAGGACAGCAACAACAGCATCAACGACAACAACTGCGAGATATCAACAAAAATTTCAACAACTGCAAAATCATTTTCAACAAAATCATCAGTGGGAATACATTGACTGAATAACATCATCAAATTTAGAAACGTCCCTTACAACAAAATCAACGTCAACATCATCATCAACAACGTCAACAACTCCGTCATCAACAACAACAACAACACCAACAACAATATCGTCACCAACAACATCCGCTTTAACAACATCATCATCATCATCATCAACAACAACGATAACAACAGCAACGACAACAAAAGCAGCAACAACAATATCTCCTCCACGAAACTGACACACCACCACTATCACCACCACCACTATCACCACCACCATCATCACCCCACCACCATTATCATCGTTATCATCATCATCCACAACAACAACAACAGTAGCATGGTGAGTTATGATGGCTGCTCTCAATTTATTCATATTTTCATTAAGCTCCAAACAATTGCAGACTCCCCATATAACATTTTTCACAATATTGGTTACACTTTACTACATTACACATGGAATTCTAACACATACGTACACTGCACACACACGCACACACATTCCTAAAACTACACATATACATTCAAGCACACATTCTAAAACACACACACGCACATTCTCACAAATATACAATTACAGATACAATCACACACATAGAGATACAAAAACAAACACAGATATACAAACACATATGGTTAAAATTGAATTGAATGGCTGATCTAACAAATGAATGAATGAATGAATGA